CCTTATCTTGCTAACTGTGCTTTTATCTTAAATTGATCCATTTCCATACATCTAGCTGGTGGATTACTGGCGTCTTCACATGCTGCTGGTCATGGCGGCGGCTGCAGCCTCTCTGGTCATTGCGACGGCTGCAGCGTCTCCTTCTGCCTTTCTGTCCTTTTATATCTCCTCTCTGTTAGTCCCACCTATCTTTCCTGCCTAGCCATGGCCGATCGGGTTTTATTTATTAACCAATCAGAGCATACAGACCATCCCCCAGCACAGCCAAGTGCAGACCATCTCAAACACCTGCACTCAGGCCCATGGTCCTAATCATCCTCTATACGGACCTGCTGGGTAACGCCACAAAGAACCTGAGAATGGGCTCCCACAGGACCTACAGAACATCCCACAGCAGTGCCCTTTATACATTTTTCTTCTAAAGTTGTAAGAGGAAGCAAACTTCTAGAGGACAATGATACACAAACCAACCCTGAAACTGAATACATGAACTGAAAGGTTTGGTGGGTCAATGTGTGAATTCCCTAAATGTGCCTATACACTTCTCAGCATCCTGATACAATCCTAGAAGAGTCTTTCCAGAGAGTGACAATGTGAACTTTGAGTTTTATTTGAAAGAGTAAACAATCAAGAGAGGCTTTAAATGGAATGTAAATTTGGAAGACCTACAATTCCACAAACTGAGACTTGTTCTAAAATCCTACTGGAAATAGCATAAAGTCCATCCAGATTCCAGATTTAAGGTGTTTTTATTTCTCTCATTTTGTGGAGACAGTAAATTGGGACCAATCACACTGTAAATTCTTAAGAATTCTAATACAGTCTGATTGGGAATATATAATATATGGCTTTGTTTGTTTAATATCCCTTAAGGTTTTTATAACTTTTTTTCAACACTGGTAGTCTAAATTTGAAAGACCCAGTATCGTGGGCTTATGATTTTATTTCACTCACTCATTTGAGATCAACAGCATTAAGGTGCAGTGTAGACAAAGGAAACTTACCTTGGGAATGAGATAATTTCTGAATTTAATATCACAGGTCACTGAATGGGGCAGGCTGGTGGGAAGGAGGTCAATGTATCTCTGAATCTCATGCAACACAGCATCAGTGTAGGGCATGTGACTTCTGTCTTGCATGCAGGGGCTTCTGTGTCTACCAATCACATGGTCAATCTCTGCCTGGACTTTGGCTGGTTCAACACAGTAGACAAAAGACAGAAAAGGAAGTGGCACATTAGTCACAAGTCAGGGCTACCTGTAGCAAGATTTAGGTGCCTGGCAGCATTATGAAAGCATAATTTTTGCTAATGAAGTGATGGTTGCTATGATATAAATACTTCTATAATATATACTAAATGTCAAAATACACAGCCCATTTAGCATACTTAAAAATCAACATTAATTATTACTAATAAATAATAAAAAGAACAGTAAGTCAAGAATATCAACTCTTACAGAAGAAAACTATTGATCAAACATTATTTGTACCAAAACAATGCAGTACATTGAAAAGTAAATTATAATGGTATTGTGTGTATATTTGTATGTAGTTTATAAAGGTATGTAATACCCTCTTACTTCCCAAATATGGCCACATACAAACAATTTCTCCTGAAATTTATGTTTATATTTATATGTAATGACTATTTCTTTCTTATCCATCATTGGAGAAATTAAATTCTTCTCATGTGGAAATAATGGTTTAATACTCTCTAGATGTATTAAATATAAATATTCCTCAGTCCAATCCTCATAGGGCAACTTTGGCTTTATACATTGCTGAAACCTTTGTGACTACATTAAATCTGTGCCCTAATCATTGCTGTTGCTTTCTTGGACTTAACTCTATTTCTCTTTATCAGTTTACATTTTTTCCTTCTACTGAAATTATTTTGTAATATTCAGGAAGATGTTTCAAAGTCTTTCCAACACTTGTCCAATCACGGGGAAGTCTCAGACTATCAACCACTTATTTCCCTTTTTTCTTGGTTCTTTCTTCACACCTTCATCATCCATTGGTCCATTCTGAACTGGATATTTTCTAGGTGTGATGCTAAGCAGCCTCCCTGACAGTCTCATCCTTCCCCTTGAGTTCTCTGGATTCCTTCAGGACCTGGGTTCTCTAGATTTCTGAAGGACCTGGGTTCAATTCCCAGCAATCATATGGTGGCTTATAACCACCTGTAATTTCAATTCTAGGTATCTGATGTCCTCTTCTGATCTCTGTGGGCATCAGGCATGCACATGGTACACACACATAAATTCAGGCAAAACTTTCATATACATAGATTATTTTTAATTTAAGATAAAATTAGAACACTCCCCCAATAATCCATCCTATGTTAAATAGTATTTTATGGAAACTTATTTCTAAAATAATAAATGAAATTCCTTTAGAAATTCTGCTCAAATAGGAGTATCTTGTTTATGGATCTAAGCTTTTGGAATAATTTCCAGGTTTATGTCTCACTAAATTCTAGAATTGGTATTTCTTCTTCTGTAAGGAGAGTTTCTATTCCAACAAAAGGATTGTCAGAATAAGGAAAAATATCCTCAAGAATATATTTTCTATTCAATATGGCTTTGTCCAATTTAAGCTAATTTGCATTTTATGTTGTATTTTTATTTTATAATTTAATTTAATTTTACCTATCAGCCATGGATTCCCTTTTCCTCCCCCCTCCCGCACTGCCCCCCCCCTGCCTTCTCCCCAGCCGAACCCCCCCATTCCCATCTCCTCCAGGGCAAAGACTCCCCTGGGGATTAAGTTCAACCTGGTAGATTTAGTTCAGGCAGGTCCAGTCCCCTCCTCCCAGGCTGAGCTATGTGTCCCTGTATAAGCCCCAGGTTCCAAACAGCCAGCTCATGCACTGAGGACAGGTCCTGGTCCCACTGCCTGGATGCCTCCCAAACAGTTCAAGCTAATCAACTGTCTCACTTATCCAGAGGGCCTGATCCAGTTGGGGGCTCCTCAGCTATTGGTTCATAGTTCATGTGTTTCCATTCGTTTGGCTATTTGTCCCTGTGCTTTTTCCAATCATGGTCTCAACAATTCTCCCTTATTCAAACCCTCCTCTTTTTCGCCAATTGGACTCCTGGAGCTGGAGAGGATATGGAGCTAGGGGAACTCTCCTCCACTACTGGTGGGAATACAAGCTTGTACAACCACTTTGGAAATCAATATGGCGCTTTCTCAGAAAATTGGGAATCAATCTCCCCCAAGACACAGCTATATCAGTCTTGGGCATATACCCAAGGAATGCTTAATCATACCACAAGCGCACTTGCTCAGCTATGTTCATATCAGCATTGTTTGTAATAGCCAGAACCTAGAAACAACCTAGATGCCCTTCAACTGAAGAATGGATAAATAAATTGTGGCACATATACACAATGGAATACTACTCAGCAGAGAAAAACAATGACATCATGAGGTTTGCAGGCTAATTTGCATTTTAAGAAGTTTATGTGGACAAAATCACTTCTAATGAAATCCAGGCACTAGAACAATACTTTATTGATCTTTCCTCCTGCCTTCTATCTTCACTTCTATGAAGCATCCTCCTCTGTTATGGGCTAAGACATCTCACTTCAGTCCTCCTGATAAATGTAGCAGATTTTTGGGGCACAGAATGTTAAATTCTGAGGCTTCCATGAGACAAACAAAATCAAGGACTCCTGGGTTGTCTTCCAATTCCTTTCTGAAACTCACTAGCTTCCCACCTGTGTCCTTACCTGTGACTTCTGGGTACTTGAGCAGGAGCAGCAGAGAGTACCTCAGTGTTGTGCTTGTTGTTTCTGTCCCAGCAGCAAACAGGTCACCTGCTGAGAAGACCAAGTTTTCAGAAGTAAACGCCGTCTTTGGGTTGTGCTTCTCCTAGGAATAGTTTGACTGTATTAGCCAGAGGATTATTTGTCAGTATACTTATTACAGTGAATAAAATGACTTACATGTGAGGAATTTAAAATGACAGACCCTGGAAAGTGCAGCAGGAGAAGAAACTGATGTGTTCAAGAGACATGTAGCCCCCCCCCCAGACCCATCTTCACTGTCTACACCCAGTTTTCTAGTCTTGAAAAATATCCTTCATGAGACTCCTCAGGCAGTGAGCTATGCAGTGTACCATCTTCCCAGAGGCATAAACAAAGGAATTGATGCCCATTTCATTTTTTAAAATGTTTAAATATTTTACTCAAAACATACATAAGAAGGAGGAGAAAAGGCAGACAGCATGTTATTTGAGGGCTAGTCACGAAGGTGAAGGTCTCAATTGTGAAAGTGGTAAAGAAAGATGGAAGGTCCCTGACTTTCATGAGGGAAGTATACTGCATGAATAAGGTAAATCCAGGACTCAGATAGCATAAGGGTACCGTTCAATGAAGCAGAACGGAGAACTCACAAAACAAACAAACACCTTATTATGATGAGTGCTAACAATATCCAATGAAACTAAGTGGCTTTCAATAAATGAAGCCATGATAGTAGCATTTATTCCCATAGGGGCCTGACAGACATCCATCTTTATTCCATGTCCATTTCAGTCCACTTGAAATTAAACTCAGTCAAGTCTCCTTTCATCCTTGGCACTAATCATTCCCTTCTCACACCACAACCTACACCTTATAATTCATCTGAAATTCCCTCACCTGTCCACAGCTAATATTGTAAGATTTAGTTCAATCTACAGATGCTATAGGAAGTCTGTCTAACTTGAGCTGCTTTTCTAAGTTTCCATACATTGTCTGCAAAGACAACATTCATCTTTATATCATGTTATGACATTTTTTTCTGAGCATTTTGGAAATATTTGCATTCCATGAGCCCGTTGTATTATATGACTTTTCAGCTAGATTATTTTTGTCTAATAAAACTAGGGTTAAAATAAAAACTTTATAACCCTCCCCCCCTCCCGGAGCCCAAGCAGTGTGAGGAAGCAGCGAGAATGACCCCCGGACGGACCAAACCCGTGCACTGCTGCATCCCTCGTTCAGGGCCGACATCCCCCGCCGCCGCCATGCCCAAAAGAAAGGCTGAAGCGGATACTAAAGGAAGTAAAGCCAAGGTGAAGGACCAGTCACAGAGAAGATCTGCAAGGTTGTCTGCTAAACCTGCTCTTCCAAAGCCAGAGCCCAAGCCTAAAAAGGCTCCTGCAAAGAAGGGAGAGAAGGTCCTCCAGGGGAAGAAGGGGAAGGCCAATGCCGGGAAGGATGCAAATACTGCAGAAAACGGAGATGCCAAAACAGACCAGGCACAAAAAGCTGAAGGTGCTGGAGATGCCAAGTGGGATGTGTGCATTTTTCATAACTGTGTACTTCTGGTGACTGTACAGTTTGAAATACTATTTTTATCAAGTTTTATCAAAATGCAGAATTTTGTTTTACTTTTTCTTTTTTAAGCTATGTTGTTAGCACACAGAACACTTTACTGTTTTGTGGGGGGAAGGAACATGTGTCACTAACAAAATGTCTCCCAAGCTGGATTGGTGATGGTTGATGTTGGAAAACATCTTTCTCTGATGATTTTGAAAGACTCTCTTGGCTCTCAGGAGAGACGTCCTGGGGTTGACATATGTGCCACCATGGCACAAAATGCCTTGTGTGGGAAACTCTAAATTCATTTTTGTGTCTTCCTCCTCTGTAGCATCAACATAGACTTAACTCCCTTCAAACGAGAGACCTCTTGGAACTTGACCCCCAAAATTGGTTTTGCTGGTCTATGAAGCAATCTGGACTTTGCAGTGGTATCATTGTGTCCTCAAAAGAGCAGCGGTTCCTTTTATAAAAGATTGTGGATCTTCAGATTGATAATTCTGCTGTGTTCATTTGGGTTCCTGAAAGTCAGGGTCAGCTTGTGAAGTTATTAAACAACATCCTCAGTGTGAACTGTCAGCCCTCACTCTAAGCTCTTGCCCCTTTTCAAAGTATCAAATGAAGATTCATCGAGTTTTATAGTGGCTTTCTGATTTTGGTTGTCTATACAAGAAGGGAGTTTGGACGTTCTTGTATACTGTTAATGACTGTCTCCCCATGTCCTGCCGGAAAAACCATGATTGTTTATGGAAAGTGTCTTTAATAAAGCTGGATACAGTTTGGAAAAAAAACTAGGGTTAATATATTCAAACTACTTAACTTTATATTTTTTTGGGATGCTTACTACAAATTCATGTACACATTAGGCAGACAAAGTGGCTGTCAAACATTACTGGTCTGAACCATTTAAATATGCCTGTAAAATAGAGACTATTAATGGAACAAAAGATACTCAAATAATCAAATAACTGAATTGAGTTTTATTAATTTACCTGCTCCATTTTGATCAGGAAGCAATCAATAAAGTCCCGAGGATTGTTAATATCCAGTGATTTTTGGTGTTCTATTAATTTTGCCAAAAAATAATGTTTTGAAAAAGTGAAATTTTTAAGTAATTTTCTGTGACTTCCTGGTAGATAATCAATCAAAGCAGGAAAATTATTACAAATCTACAAAAGAAAAATAATAAAAGTTTAAAACACAAGACATATACATGTGTACCTTATAGTGGACCTTGGCCAAAAAGAATAAATAGAAAAATAAATAATATATGTCATTCATCTTGATGAGTGATTTTTACAGTGTATATAGGAATCCTCTTTGCTTGTAGAGATGTCAACACAAGAACATAATGAACGAGTTCAAACATGATAACCACTGCTTAAATTCTCACACAATCATTATTCCTTATATGAATATTACATCAGCTTATTCATTTTCTACACAGTCTCTTCAATACAACCTTGAACACAAAATGGCATGAAATGATGTGATCTACATTGTGTAGACTGCAACAAAGATGAAGGGACTTGGGGTATCCTGATTGAAAGCATAGATATCATCCTTGCTACTTAGTTTCTGTCAGCCGCTCTCAGATACAGAATAAGAATTTTAGCAGTGAGATTCTTAAGAATTCTTGAAGTACAACAGTGAACCCGGGCAGACCAGCTGGTGATTTTTTTCAAGATCATTAAACAAATTGTCTAGTTCAGCTCCGCACAGGGAAAAATTTGATGGGATCCAGACACTACTCATTTTGTCACTCCTATGACAGATATATTGCTGCTTAGGATGTCAACTGTTCATTAAATATCATTGCCATACTCCAGGAATGCTATTAGATTCAATGATTCCAAACACTGTCCCTAACTGAAGAAAATAGTCTCATTGCAAATTATATTTTTAAGTGTTTTGATGGCAAGATCTCTAAAGTACTGAACAGAGCATAAGCCTTGTTGCTAACAGATTTCAAAAATGAAACAGATATCCACTGAGTTATGGAAGTATCTCTGAGTATTGACCTGATGATTTTTAGAGATTAGAGAAAGTGATTTGAGGTTTAATGGAAAGTCAATGAACAGAGTTCTAATAGCCCACAGTTAACCCCTCATTTTTTAAAGAATTTTTTGGAACTTTGGGGGACACATACCTCTAGGTATTTTGGGGGGGGGTTGTTGGTTTTGGTGTTTTGTTTTGTTTGCTTTGTTTTGTTTTGAAGGAAAAATCTTGAACTCACCTGTATCCAAGGGGAACTCAGAATCTCTACATTTTCATTTAAAATGTTCATGAAGGTAAGAAATTCCTGATCTTTATAATCAAAACGATTCTGGAAAACAATGGAGCAGATGACATTGCATGGAGCACAGCCCAGGATGAAGGTGGGATCACAGGGTGAGCCTGAAGAGTTGGGAACAATTGTAAAATGCCATTGAAATATATGTGTGTAAAACACTGCATCTCTTAACAAGTAAAAGAACTTATGACAATTTAAGCAAGACTTACCCACAAGTGGCCTGGTAGACATAACAATATGCATTACATCTGTGCATCATTTTTATGTTTAATATGATTTCAGTAATCTGGTCATCTATCCAATTTATGAAATTGAGTATACTCAGTTTTCATCTCATACCTTTATTGATTTGCCTGTCACCCCAGGGGTCTGCTGTTTAGAAGGGGTAATGGGATTTTTAAAATCTTCAGCAATTCAAGACTTCTGGGGGGATTCAAGTCTGTTTGTGAAGCCTCTAAACAATATGATACAAAGATTCATGGGGATGGAAGGCAGGTGGCTCTGGGAAGAGGTGAGGGTGTAAATATAATCAAAATACACTGTACAAACTTCTCAAAGAACAAATAAAAATGAAGGGGAAATGAATCTCTCCCAAAAAAGAGGAAAGGGAAAGAATAACAGGAACTTAGGAAAACTTATACATAGGAATTGAAAGGCTCATGTCTTTAGCCAGTAGAGTATAATAAACAGAGAGATTGTGTTAAGTTCATGCATTCAGAAAACTAACATGAAAAGGAAATACATCTATGTTATGTGAAATGAAAATTGTATAAATAAACATTAATTATAAAATAGATTTCTTAGGGTAAAATTAAGATGAGAACCTTTGTTTGAAATATGCCTCCAAAAGAAAGCAAAAAAGTAGAAAACAGATAAAGTTTTTAATTCTCAATTCTATGTATAAACTCCCTATGATTTTCTGATTTAAAAGGAAGAAAATGCCTGTGATGATTAATATTGATTGTCAACTCGTCAGCATCACCAGGGATAGAGGCTTGTATATGTTACAGGGAGATGAGAAGATCCATCCTAATTGAGGAAGGCACCATTCCTTGGACTTGGCTGCTAGACCGCATACATGGAAGGAAGCTGGGCAAGCAGGAGCATTCTATCCTCCAGTCTTCACTGAGCTGACAGTGTGACCAGGACACCTCCCTGGTTCAGGCTCCCCTTCTGTGGCATCCCATTACGATAGATTAAAACCAGAAACAAGAATCCCAGATAATCTCTTCTTTCCTTCAGTGGCTTTTGTCAGGTATTTTATTATAGCAACAAGAGAAGTAACTAACGTGTTTTCTATCATCCCCTAAATTCCTTATATTTTTTACCATTTCTGTATTCTTTGAGGAGGTCTCTATAATCAAATTACTAAAATCAAATGATTACACTTCATATAGAAAGTGTGCACAAAACTAAAATCCATAGACCCTAAGATAAAAATAACTTGAATCAAAAGTACTTTGGATAAAGACTAGGACATTGACAATAAGAAATTGTGTTAGTTGTTTAAATGTCACATGCTTTTAAACACCATAGCATTCACAGAAATGCTATGTCAATACATATTTTATTATGTCAAAGGAGGAAGAAGTTTATTTAAGAAGTGTATTATGTTCATGGGTATGGGTAAATGGCTAGGAGCATATGTGAGACTGGGCATGTGTGTAACAGAGAAGAAATCTGGCTTTTTTCCTTTCCTTTCACTTAATTTGAAAGATGATATTTAAACAAGGTCATGTTTCATTGTGAGAAGTATTTCAAGTGGTTGCAAACTTGAGAGTCAAAGAAGACAACTATTGTCATAAATATATTACCCCACATACAACAAACAGAGGCAGATGAGATAAATAAATGAAGATGGAGCCAATAGTGAAGGCTAGTTGTATGCATCACTGAAAACTTAACATTAATTTTGTAGAATCATGTAATAACATATATCTATTCAAAAATATAAATCAATAGAATAAAAGATTAGAAATAATTCATTCTGTCTTGTATAAATTATTCTGTGCTTTTAGAAGAGAATGAACTGATAAATCTTTACTAAATTTTGCAAATCTTTTTTGTTTACACTGCAACATCCACCAGAACTTTGTGCATGGACCTGAGATATGTCAGTTGCACAACATAGTCCAATTAAAGACAATTATACCATCTAGTTACTTTTCTATACAAGTGTGATACAGTAATTGCCATCATATTCACAGACCAAGTATTTGCTAGTGAAATTAATATTTATGCTGAGGGAAATTATTGTCCCTTAAATCATCAGAAAAATGAGCTTAAAACCCAAATTCATATAGTCATTTTGTTTTTTGAAAACAAAGCAGTTGGAAAAGATCTAGATTAAATGATGGCTTAGACCTCTACAACAGATAGAATCCCACCATAAAACAAAAGTCACAGATAAAAAAACTCTTTTTTAAACTACAAATCATACTTTCCATATGAAGACTGAACCAGAACACAGAATGAAAGCTCTGAAAGCTCTGGTCACCCTCAAAACTTCTCAAGGACCTAATAACAAGTCAGAAATCTATGATGAGTAACATTCACCATTGGTTTTCTTCAGTTCCTCCACAAGACAGCGAGCTTCCTCTTGAACACGGTCCTCAATGCTCCTCTTTCCCATTCCAAAGTTCCGTAGAGTCACGAGTGAGAAGCGCCTCATCTCTTTCCAGATCCTTCCATCGCTGAAAACAATGCCTAAAAGAAAGAGCAGAAATGAGTAAGTACATTCCAAGTAAGGAAGATGGGCTAATAGGTAGTTGCCGCATAGAAAGCCAAGCTGGGTCTGAACAAGTTTTCAAGATTACATTCCATCCTCAAATTCCCTATGACCACATCCCAATATATATACACATGGACAAATAGGTGCACAGACATGAAGATATATGGACACG